ATATTTATTCATGTTTGGTGATTTCGACCTACTTCTATGCTTTAATACTTCGTGAATACTGAGTTTATAAGCAGAAGGTATATCAGATACACTTAGAACTGAATAATGTTCACAGATTCCACAACACAAGCTACGCGTTCACATCTAGTGTTTGTATGATAATAGTGTCACATATAACACTAGATAGGCTAGCGAGATTCTAACATTTTCGTCCTTATGTTCTAGTTTGTTTGAAGTTAAGCACAAAGTTACACTCTGCCCACCACGGGTATCGAAACCCGGTTTCTCGCGTTGTAATTCTGCAGACATGCCGCTGTGCCACTGGGGGGTCTTACGTTCTCGTGTCTCGTGAGCATATTACACCTTTTTCTTTACATTGGTCAGATGTGAAGCTGAAATTTATTTGTTTGCATTTTTGCAGCAAACTACACAAGGGTTAGCTGCACATATCCGTCCCAAATTTTGAACTGCTAGACTAAGGGAAAAGCGCCCACCGCCAATTCTTGGGCTACTCTTGTCTGGCTAAGAAGTGGGATTTTACCGTCATTCTGATAGCGAACCCATGGTCTCAAAGTGCGGAGAGCATTTTATAGCAACGGGAAGCGAACCACGAATTCCCGGATTCATAATCCTGGCACTCTAACCTCTTCTTCACGATCGACCAGCAGTGGTTTAAGTATCGCTTTTTACAGGCTTTAATACAGTATATTATTTATAGTTATAAACTCATAGCTGTTTTTTTATTTGCTCAGATTCTATAGCATAACATTCTTATACGTCACATAGAAATTTATACTGAAAGGCTTTACATGACGTTACAGCACTAATATAGACAAAAGTGACGTCACTGGTAATTTTTTTTTGTACAATAAATGTTTTGATTCGCCTGGTATGAATCTAAATGTGAAATATGGTGTCGTTTGTGATTTTTTTTACCATGCTCATAAATTAAACTTAAAGGTTAAACTTAATCAATAAAGTCACGTAACCCCTTCATGCTTACACTAAAAGATAAAAAGATCCGTTCTTTTCATGAATTTTTGAGTGTGTTATGAGAGGATATACGCGTGAGGAACTACAATAAAAAAAATAAAAGAACGTAAATATCTGAGACTTGAGAAACATTCTAGCGTAAAATAAAAATAAAATAAATACGATATATTCAATTAGATAAAGTTTTACCATCAACTGATATTTTTATGTTATTAAACAGCATTAACGCACGATGTAAGAAAGAATTACTTTATTCAAATACATAAATAAAATACAGTTTTCTGCGTAAACCAACGCTAATAGCAGCTCTTTCTCCTTGTATGGTATCAAAAGATTAAGCAAAACTAAAATGTGCTTTAATAAAAACCTCATGACGGCTCCAGTAAAGGCTCGAAAGTTAGTTGCAACAGAAAGGAAAAATCAATTGCATACAAGTTATTAACAAGACTACAAATTTACCCGATTTTTATTAAACAACTTTGTAATGTTATTTACTATCATCTTCGTTTGAAAGGAATCACTCTTTAAGTGCAGTACTATGGAGTAAAAGCTGATGAATAGACGAATTAAATGCCATAAGACAAGATGCAGAGACCGGGCGTGACCGAGTGGTTAACATGCTCAGACTTTGAATCTTCGTTGCCGCAAGAACGCGCTCCGTACTTTGAGATTTAGGTACACTATAAGAGTGTCTGTAAAATTGCGCTATTCGGTAAGACCAATTGGCAGTGGGTGCTGTTAAATAGTTGCTTTCACCCTAGGCTATCAGTTCAAAGTTAGCCCTTGTATAACATTGCTCGTAAATTCTCAACAAACAAACGACGATCCGTTCTCTTAGCAAGGAAGCCTAATCGTAATCAACTTACCGAGTTGATTAACTTCATAAGCCTATAAGTCGATCGATATATATTACTCTAATACATTTACGCATCAGTCAAAAAGAGCTTAGTTACATTTTAGGCTAACGTTCAAAGATTAAACGTTACACTTGTAGCAGCTCATGCAACAGCTGGAAATACCACAAGTATCGATCACTTTTTGTTGTTGTTGATTCTTTGGTCTTTAACTTAAACGAAACGTTTCGATTTTTATTCTAAAAATAGATATAAATACTTGCTCAGTATTTTTAGTTTCTTGGGCGTGAAGAGAAACAAAAGTTTCTGACCACCCCGAGTTGTCTTTCAGACCCCAAAATTTTTTTTGAGGCTTGAAAGATTTTTTAAACCTAAATTCATGCCAGTAATTTTATCTGTTTGGATAGATATGTACGTTAGAAGCTTAGTTTTCTCAAGATTCGTTTATGACTAGAAGAGCTGTTATGAATATTAGTGTACTGACATATCCATACCAATGGCTATATATTTTTTCACTTTGATGTAGTAATTACGGTGAACTTGAGTGCTTATAACGCTAGAATGTGGGATTCTATCCACGCGGCCAAACTCTTACAAAACAGCAAAAAAAGAAAACGTCAAAACAACTGGTGTATGCTATCTCGGCAGCAAAAGTGTTGCAAGGATATCCTGATGAGTCATTTCTCGAAAAATGATAAAAAAAAAAAATTGGACCATTTTGTCTATACTGTTTTTCTTATGAATGCACTCCTGTTCTGGCCGATTCACGTGAGGTATTATGGTCGAAAACAGCGGGTGTATCTAACTACTGAATCAATAGTACTTGTAAGCGCGTGCTTACTGTTATAAGTAAGAACTGTACAGTAAAGGGCCTGGTATGGCCAGGTGGTTAGGGCGCTTCACTCGCAATCTGCTGGTCGCGGGTTCGAACCCTCGTCCCATCAAACATGTTCGCCCTTTCAGCCGTGGGAGCATTATAATGTGACGGTCAATCCTACTATTCGTTGGTAAAAGAGTAGCTCAAGAGTTGGCGGTGGGTGGTGATGACTAGCTGCCTTCCCTCTTTCACTGCTAAATTAAAGGCGTCTAGCGCATATATAACCCTCATGTAGCTTTGCGCGAAATTCAATACAAACTGTATATTAAATTAGCCATATTCATTACCGGATTAATTTTTAGGTCTGCTCTATACGTAGGTAGCTTTCTTTGATCAAAAATTAATAATAATTATCAAGCAGTGTGTATAGCTAGCCAAATACATTACGGAATACATCTGTTTGTGTGTGCTTAATCGAGATAATATTCAGTATCTAATGCTTCAATAATACTCATAATTTTCCAAGTCTTAGTAACATCGGACATACGATATTTCACTGTTATCAATCACTTCTCACCCAACACATTTTTATAGTTACTACAGATTTTTCACATGATTGAGAAATTCTACATACAACAAACGTAAAAGATGCTTTGATATTACTTCAACATGGTACAAGGAGGGAAAGTGGAAGGGTTTCTTAGGTCTTCCTGACTGGAGCTATTCCTTTTCTGGTGTTTTCAACTATTGTACCAATACCTTTTATGATGCTTGTTTAAATTCTTACTGTACCCTTTGTTACTGATGTAGCTTTGAACACAAATATTTGACGTGTGAATGTTCTATTACTGATGTAGCTTTGAACATAAATATTTGACGTGTGAATGTTCTGGTATGCACAACAGGAAAATATTCGTTAGAAAGTGCATGATTCACTACAGCTTTGTGCACGTTTTGTGTCTTGTTAAGGATTTTAATATTAAAACACCTCCTCTCCACTCCCAACTCTACATACATACATACATACATACATACATACATACATATATATGTATATGCATTACGTTTCAAAGTAAAACAAAACCAAAAATTATGAAATCCAGTATAGGAAATCCGAAACATTGAAAATAAATTAGGTAAATAATCTGTTATATATGGTAGGTTTTTATGCCTTTAAAGCTTAACCATATGTGACGAACAGAAAAAAAAACACGTACTTTTATAGCTCCATTCTAATTGAAGCGCTGGTGCTGAAGATCTCTTCCTGGCTCGGATCTACACGAACAGGAGCACCCATGTATACATAATAGTTGCCATGGAAATACGGACACATTCCTGGTGAAGTATATAAATTCTTCGAAGAAATACTGAGGAAAAGATTTGTATAACTGGACGTTCCTCTTGGGATTAAGGTCCAATGCTTGTATTTAATGAATACACATAATAGTCAACCGTGGTATATAATTTTTCGTAATAATTGGAGTCTTCTTTAAATGTTCTTTCGTTTCAGTTTCTGTATATAAATATTTCCTCAGTTGCTGTATAATTTTTGTGAGTTGTGAGTTGTAAATATTGGTATTGTAATTGCAATATCTAAATAAGAATGTACTTTTTTTTGCTAGTTAAAAGCTGCTTTAAAACGAGAAATTTTAGTGAACAGTTGAGTCAGGCGTGGCCTACAGGTAACATGTCATCTTACGGATGGAAGTTCAAGACGTGATACTACTGAACACACCCGCACTTTCAGCTGTGGACGCGTTATAAAAGTGACAGTCAATCTCGTAATTCGGTTTAGAGAACCGAAAGAAGCTCATTTGGCTGCGGATACTGCTCCCACTGGCGAGTAGTTCAAAATTAGGGACGGCTGTACCAGAATGTTTTCACCTGACCGTTTATACCACGTGCGCATAAAATGCTGCTCAGATGTAAAATTCCAGTTCCTACAATAAACAAATGCGAACAATTTATCAGTATTCAGTAACGAAGAGTAATAATATAGAGTTGGACGTTTGAGAACGTAACCCTGACCTTTAATTATGACGAATCTGGCAAATGTAGATTGTATTAAACTATATGATTGAAGGTTCGATTCAAGAATCCCCGTAATATGCTGACGTCATTAAATTGTATAACTTTTAAACATTGCAAAAAATAAACATCTTAAATAAAACGTTGTTTGTTGCTTTTGAATAGTTATATATCTCCATCAAATCGAAATCATTTGTGACAATACAAGTCTGATTTCTGTGAAATTGAAAATTTAATCAGGGTTTGAAGTCACGTTTATGCTGAGTGTTAAAGTTATCACTTCTGTCTTTTTTTCTTACGTTACTCAGGTGTGCGAGCAGCACGTGGCAGGATACAAGTTCTCCGTTTTAAACAATGCCTTCGTGATACACGAGGGCTTGAAGACTCCTAGCTCCTTCCACAAAGACAAGGACATGGACCAGGAACGCAACAGGATTCTCTTTCGACACTTCAAAGCCGAGTTGAAGGACAAATACCCCGACTCTTCCCGAAGATGCTACTGAAGAACCAATGCCCTCGATGTTAAGTGTGGACCAGGTATAGACTCTTGTTTTTATATCACAGAGGAGTTGTTAGTGAGCAGAATATGTACAGATTGGTATGCATTGTTATAAAGTTGATATTGCGGGATTTTTTTATGCACTAAAACATATTACTTCATATTTTAAAGAGCGCCTCTTTGTGTGAAAACAATTGGTAATACTTCAGTGCCTGATTATTAGGATAATCAATCAGGTAACGTGAAATCAATAATTCGTATATTTTTGTGTACCTGTTGTTATATGAACAGATGGTTAGACATTTAGGTGCAATTACACAATAAGATATATAACCTCGTGTCTTAGAAGTTATATGGAGAAAAGCGAGTCAAACACTTTGTCATTCAGCATTAGATCGGCCTTGTGCCATCCTTAGTTGATAAGGTTACATGATTGTTCTGTTAAAAATTTACCATGTTGTTAAGACCAACATTTAATAACGCCTATACATCAGTTACATTGTAATAAAGCAGTATGCATTACGAACATAATTTACTTTATATATATATATATATATATATATATATACATATGTCGCTCACGCAGTGGTACTTCATTATCAGTAATGAAGCTTATCGTGCATAGCCTATAGTGCTCTGAGGAGTAAACACCTTTAGAAGGGGCAGCTAATGTTAGAAGGATTTTCGTTATCGCACTTGCACGCAATGTTCGAATAAACATACGGCTGTTTTAATTACTGACGGAATTTTTAAATTAGTTTTATGCTATTATTTTTGTAGTTTATAAGTGACATGACCTGATTAATTTAAACGTAGGTTATAGCCTTGTAATTTGTTGTTTTCGCCGCGATTACTAGTTACTGGTAAAGATATGTATTCTAAAACGTAATACTACTGCAATCGAATGAAAAATTAATATGGAATACATGCAAGCTTAGAAAGACTTTAAATTTGGATGTTGTTCTCAATCTTTTAAAATTTTCGCCTCATACAACCATTAGGACTTGTTGATTTCGTGTTAAACGCAATACAAGACTAAGGATCGGGTGAAAAAAATCGTATTTTTTTTTCTTTTTCATTTGATGTTGCATATTTGTTATTAAAACTATTATTTTTATCTTTTTTTTCTTTTCTCGAGAGTATGTTACTTGTCTCGATGAGATCCCACAGGGGTTAAAAGAAATGTGACTGAATGAAACTAAAACGTTGATATTTCCTGGAAATTATTTTTCTATATATTTTTTTTATTTCGACTAGAAATAAATAAATTTGACAGTTGTATTATAGAGAGCACTGTAGTTCTTCCATTGCTTACCAGAATCACAGAATTCTCTGATAAACAGATCCAAACGAATCGGTTTGCAGTTTCGAGGGTTCATGTAGGCGTCTTTCTTTAGTGCTCAGGTCACCAGACAAATATGTATTTATTGCTTTTTATCATAATAAAGTTACACTGAAAATTAAAGGTTTCACAATGAAAAAACTGCTCACGCCCTCTATCGTTTAGTTTGGGTTTAGTGAGATACAAAGCAACTTCCACAAAATAAAGTATTCCTCTGCAAATGAACAATTGAGTGAAGTTTATGCGTTAGTTGTAGAAGACAGTGGAAACCTTTTTAAATTACCATTTATAACTGTTACTCATGGTAACATTACTCTCGACCAAGGCTACTTCAGTGATGTAACATTTTTCAATTCTTTGAGTTTGTTTTCTGAAAACAGTTATTTTCAAGTTGGTGTATGATGTGGTTGTATATTACTTAGTTTTTCTTTCGTGTATAATAATTGTAGTGTAACCTGAATTAAAACTTATCGTAATAATTCAAACCAACATTTCTGTTTTACACTTAACAGTATTGAGAGTGTATACAGTATATAAGTAATTAGGGTTATCTGTGTGCGTAAGCCCATTTGGCACCAACTGTAGGATAAAAAGAGCTCTAACAATCTCTGTAGATCGAAATTTCTACATTATCAGTTTGTGTTCTTATGGAATTCAAACGCATAAGATATAAGATACTATTGTACTGAGTACACAGTAGCTGTTTGATTTCACTGAAGCTATTACTGCTTTGGAGACGTATGTAACAGATGCACTCGGTTTCCAAAGTCATAACCTGAACAGCGAACTCAACACATAAACGATGATAAGCTATATAACCTTGGTACTGACTGCTGTAACAATTCATTATCATTGTTTTTGAAATACGAGTAAACGCCGATGATTTTCGCACATGTAAGAATCGCTTCAGTTGTGACATACATCGACTGTTTATGATAATGTTTTTTTTTGAATTATGTATTTCCTAAGGGAGTTTCCGGTGAAAGTGAAAACACAGGTAGTTTCAATGTTCGAGGTTATCACGATCAGTTTCGTGATAACTAGTTACGTCAACTTTAACTGTCTGCGTCGAAGTAAAATGGGGTATTGAGGGTGCGGTGACGGAAATAGCACCAGAAGAAAATTACTTTAGCTCGCAAGTCCTGGCGGTTTGAATCACCACCGGGAATAATTCTCCGGATCTTTCCGAGTAGCCGTCAAGTAAAAGTATAGGAGAGTTAAGAGTTAGCCTTCCACGTTTATTGTTTCGGGGGAGAGGGGGACAGGAACTTTAAGTAAAAGTTATGTGTTTCCGCCTCCAAGCTGTCTCATTCATCAACAGAAAACAGTCACACAAGCTGACTAAACACATGCCTCCGCTTTAGTATATATACAGGGGGCGGGGTCTCGTGGCTGCACGCAATATTGACGTTTACTATAAGAAAAAATACGAATAGTTTTGAAGTTTGTAGAGCACAAGGTACAGTTAGTCCTAACTTATTGCGGTGCCGCCCTACAAAGTTAGACGACCTGTAATCAGTCACTTGCAGAACTTAACTTGTGAATACAGCAGTAATATGAACCTGGCTGATTGTCAGGAAGTGGAACTATGCCTGTTCTTTTTCTTCTCGTTAAATTTACAGCTTTTTGCGTATTAATTGTTTAATTATTTAAATATAAGTTCGTGAAATCAACATTTTAACGCCAGAATATTTTTGCATAATAAAGCATCTAAAAGGGGGGAGGGCATATCACATATTTCTGGAATCGACAAACTAACAAACTAGTCATATACAGAAGTTATCTTTAACCTCCGAGGGACGCGTTGTTTCTCTAAAGGTTTTCGCGTAATACGTTAGTTATGTTCCATTCTAATGCTATTCAAGCATTATTAAACAGTAAGATACACCCGAACAACAGGCGTTGTAAACAGCATGCATATACTATGGATGAAGGTGCACTGACAGACGGCGCTGCTGGATGTTTCGTTTGACCTCGCGAAGGTTGGCGGCTAGGTAGATTAGTACGTGTCTTCTTTTTTGCTAGATTGTTTAATAAAGTCTCTTTAATTATTTTCCGAGTGAATTAGCCAATTATTTAGAAGGAGTTATGGATATCTTACCTTTTAGACAGTATTAAATAAAGCTATTTTGTATTACAGTTATTATGTGTACTTATTGCTATAATTGACTTGTAAAACAGATTAACACGTTTCTGTTCCAGATATGGAGTTTGAATAAGGAGAACGTTTTGTCATATCACCATTTTCTGGCCAAATCCATGGATTTCTAGCTACCTTGCGCATCTTGTTAAAACGATTGGCATTGCCTCAGAAACTCCATAGTATAACTACATCCTAACAAAATGGCTGACTGATTCTCAAGACCTTTGTTATCAGTGTAACAGTAATTATAGGTCTTCATCTCTGTAGTGTACCATTACATAGATAGTGTTAATGTTGAATGCTAAATTCACTCTTCGAAGATAAGCTGTCTTAAAATCCTTGCTGTTTATACTGTAGTTGTGCAGACTGATATCTGAATGATTGGTAGGAGGATAGAGATTAGTAACTCAATACTTGGAAGATACAGTTGTATTTGTAAGCCTACACCTTGGAAAGATCGCACTCAATGGAGCTTTAGTGAATGAGTAGGTTTAACACAACTGAAATCTTTCGAGACAAGTGACCAACCACAAAAATGAACGGTTTGTCATTCTGTAGAAAGGAGTTGAATTGTGCTATAAAAGATGAAAGAACAGCGTGGGCTGATGTCGGTTATAATTAAAAAAGTCTACTGTGTATCTAAAGAAGGGCAGTTTAGGTGTTGACTGTTACTGTCGGAAGTGAAAACTATTCAAATATGTTGTATTACATTCTGAAGGAGAAGATACGTGTGTTTAAACAAAAGAAAATATTGTGGCTTCATTAAACTGGTTATCTTCAGTAACTGTTCAAATGAATTAAATACATGTGAAATTCGATGTAAAACAAATTACAGTAACACAGTGGTTCTCAAACTTTTTTGTCTGCGGGCCACTTCATCGAGGCAAAAGACCACTCGGACCACCTACCGGTCCTACCCTACCCTACCCACTTTCGCTTGCCACCGCAAATATATATAATCATCAGGGACTTTCATTTTGGGCTAGTCTGCAGACCACACTTTGAGAACCACTGCTGTAACATATCTTTAATTCTGCTCAAGGAATTACGTTAAGAGTTCCCCGAGGTAAACAAGAAAACTGTTAGAATCTTTGCTAATGTAAACTTTAAACGAAAATGGATGTGCTTTTAGCATAGTAAAAGGAATATCATGTATATTTTATTTTTTGTTTGTTACAGTGCTGTGTAAAATTACCTTTTTTAAAGCTAAAATGTCTGCATTAAAACAAAAGACAAGTTGTAATTTCAGCAGTATTAATACTAGGTTCTCTCTTCAAGTCGTGACACTAAGATTTTATAACGGTACTGAATTACATACAGTTGTTTTAATCTATTCTGCAGTATAAACATTCGGAAAAAAATTGGCTATTTTAATTTAGATATCAAGCACAACTTCGTGCACTTATTGCACAAAAATGTCAACGATATTCAAGAACTTTCTTAATCGCATATGAAGCATGTCGTTACATATATTAACAATCCAGTATCGTCACAGTGAAAATCTATGAATCAGATTTATAGAAAGTAAACCTTCCATTTTGATTAGTATTGGAGCCCAGAAAGGTTCGAGAGGAAGCAAGAGTGAAAATGAACAGTAAACTGCAACTTGATAATAAAAACAAGAAGGAAAGTTGAGAACTAGGAGTACACCTAGATACACGTGTGTGTGTGTGTGTTTATATCGTTAATCTGCGATAGTGATCTCTGTTTCGTTGTAGATTCTCTCTGGGCCATTAAAAAAATACAAGTTTTTCTAATGAAATGTATAGCTGAACTTTTCTTTTCAGTTCCTGTTTCTTGATGTGTTGTACCTTAAAAGCTATTTTATCCAGATATAATATTGCTCGAATATATGTTTTTTTGTCGACCTAGCATCTATTAAAATACTGTTGTGTGCTGAAATCTTCTTATACGAGTCAAACTTTACAATAGTAATTACTGTTCTTTATGAGCTAAACGGCGTAATTTTTGCTTTATATTCTAAAACTGTAGGATGTATTAATTTGTCACATAAATATATTGGTTTTGCTTAAGGATACACATGTAAATCTCCTATATAAAAGGCCAGTCTGTTATATATACATATGTGTGTGTGTGGTTACACACACATATATATAATATACATCTGTATCTGTGTGTGTTTGTTAAGTGTTCGTGTGTTTATTATGTATTAAAATATTAAAACAATTTCTATTTATCCAAAGAAACAATTTTTGAATGAACCTGGTTCAACTTATCACATGATTCAATCTCTGATAAAGACTGATGTGTGTATTGGAAGGATGTTTGGTATTAACTAGATACGTACGTTTGGGGAAATTTTAACAGAGACAATGGAGTTTTATAGGATTTATGATAAAAAGAGAGATTGAAAACATCAGTGTGACGGGAAAAATCCCAGGCAAGAAAAGTAACGGAAGACAAAGACAGATGCTGCTATCAACAATTGCCAAGGAATTTGTTTGAATTACCACTACAGAAATGATGAGAGCAGGGATCAGTGGAGGACCATACTCACCAACGCCCTAGATGGGCATGGTACCTGGAGAGAGATGTAAATTAGACCATAACTGTGAATAATAAATTAAAGAAATACAGCTTGAGAGAAATGGAATAGTTCCAGAGTTGTTTCATTTATGCGTGTTGAAATAAACATAAAATTACCTATATTCGTATATGTTAATGAAACCGTTAAATATATCATTTTTTTTGTGATCAAATGTTGTTTTTTCTCGAGAATCAATATAATTGTATTTCGTGGTATTTTTTTTAGATGTTTCGATTTTTGTGACTTTAATTTACAGCATAACAAAATAAGATAGAACAGTTTAGAAGTAGGATCTATAATTTCAACCATTTTTTTAGATCAATATAACAAACGTATACTAAAGATTTTGGACAAATATGTGAAAGCTGTTGATATAACATCGCATTAAAATAAAACGGCAGTTTTTTAATTTCATCCACATACGTTATTTTCCCTACGATTTAGGAAATTTAATCTTAAAGTTATAACAGTTTAAAAGTAGTGGTTCTCAGTATTGTGCACGTTAAACGAAATTACGCATTTAAGGATTTTTGAATACCTTGTGTAATTAGGCTTGGCTAATGAAGAGAAGTAAACTCGAATAAATAGTGAGTTTGATTTGATCCGTTTTTGTTATTTTTGTCATAGCGCGCGCGAATGTGTGTGGAAAATATTAACATTGTTAACCTGTCATTTAAATATGTAAGAATGGTGCTGATTTATCTTATCCACAGAAATCCTTTGAAGGTTTGAAAATTTTTTTTTGTTCTTCTGTAATGTTCTTGTAAATATCCATACATATTTTAAAAGTCTGTGTATTGAAACGAGCTAAGTTTTATAGTTAAGAAAGTATGCCAATTTTTCTTATTATTGAAATATAAGCTTATTATATATATATAAAAAAAGCGTTTAGCTGTTTTCTAATTGCATATTTTTCAAATATAAACGTATTTATGTGTATATTGAAGTCAGCTTTTTTGTATCAGATTTATTTTTAAGTTCGCTGTTTTAGTCACTTATTGTATTTTTTTTCACTGGATTTTTTTATGAAGTTATCGATAGCTTTATTGTTCTTTATTACAGAAATGAGTTAGATTTTGTGTAATAAGCCGTTTTCTGTAGACACTTACTATTACGGGTTGTTGATTTTTTTTAAGTATGTGAGTATTAAGAAAAACACTGCTATGGTAAAAGCCTCACACTAGCACAGCAGTATGTCTGCGGACTTGCAACGCTAGAAACCGGATTTCGATACCCGTGGTGGGCAGAGCACACAGCCCATTGTGTAGCTTTGTGCCTAACTTCAAAACAAAGAAACGAGCTATGGTAAAAATAATTATATAATACCGGTAATGTAATTTCAAGCTATAAACATACGATGTCGAGTAATTGAAGTTAGGTTTTATAAAATGAATTCACCAAGAAAGGCTTTTCTAATATATATATATATATATATATCTTAATGAATTAATGGTGTCTAAACACTACTGCTCTGAGTACCTTTATACAAAGGTACCACAATAAAAAAAAACAAAAACTTTAACTCGACGGCTTTCGAAAAGTAGACTTTCCGGAAACACTCGGCTTAATAATAGTTTTTTGTTGTTCATCCGGAAACACTCGGCTTAATACTAGTTTATTGTTGTTCATAAAATATTTACGTGCCATCTTAGGTTTTATTTTTTGTTTGACCTAAGTATTTTTTATATAACAGTTTATTTATTCAGCTTAAGTATTAGTAATAACCATTAGGGACTGTTCTGTGATTTACTGTTACCCAGTGTGTGCCATAGTTAGATCATGTATTGCTAATCTTTTCACATCTCAAGTGTAACATGTATAAAGTGTATCAAATAAACAGTCAACTTAATCTAGCCCTGAGTAGTTTTTATTTCAGTTTCTCAAACACTTTCCAAATACACCAGAAATATTTTGTATCGAATGTGATAAACTGTGCTTTTGGCTGTTATTTTTCTTAAATATTTACAATGATCGGTTAAAGGACATAAAAAGAAAGAAAAAAGCTCGTTTTACAGTGCTCCACGAGTTCCGCCTAGTAGTTTGTAGCTTAGTTCTAAACTTTATGCTGCGTTTAAACCTCTTTTTTTCCAAATGGTTTCAAATTAATTTTCTGTTACTTTGCATATATAAAAGGTTTAAGACGAAGTACCCATACCATAAAGATGGATTTAACTTACAAGAAATAAAGCCTTGTAATTAATGCTTGAAATTGTTTGTTAACTTTTCAGAAAGAAAGCCTCGTATTTAATGTCTATAATGGTTTTAGACCAATTATTTTTTTCTTTCTTGGTTTTTTATGGAAGAGTAAAAGTGTACAGCGATTAGCTATTGAAATCCTGTAAGGGACCAGCACCTGATTACGAGACTTGTAAGCTTAATTAGATCTTTTCCTTATTGGGTCTCCCATAGGCGAGTAAAATTAAGTAATTATCTGATAGACTACTAGAGTTCTCGAGAGACGAGTAGGAAATCAAATTATTTTAAAACATCTTCGTTCAACAGTTTGTGAGCGGTAAGTTTAAGGACTTGTAATGCTTAAATACGGGATTGTAATTCCCGTGTTGGACTGAGCGCAGACAGCCTATTGTGTAGCTGTGCGCTAAAACAAACATCCAAACTTAAATCTCCTCCCAGTGGTGTTATAGCTAACTAAAGGATAGTATCTTTGACAACATAACGAATTTAACATATCACTCTGCGTTTGCCACGTCATTGAACTACAAATAGGGCTTTTTAGTTTTTTTTACCATGAGATCGAGGCAGAAATTGTTTGGATTTATTATCCATATTCTTATTATCTTCAAAGGTTGATCTTTAGAGAATTAAACGTATGAAACTATGAACAAAAAAGGTAAGTTTTTGTTCCAATTTTAAAACCATCATGAAAGTTACTTGTGATGGAAGTGGAATAAGAGATAGAAGCTTATTTAGGTTGGAGAATATAACAGCAAAGCGGTAGTGATGTTTTAACTTCTGCTGCTTCCTTGTTGTCTCAGAGGGATAAAAAAAACTGTAGATCATTGTAATCAAATTAATTGTGCACTCACAGCATTCACTTTGTTTATATTGGCCATAGAGAAAGCACAGGGAAACGTTTTACTTGAAGAAACAGTAGTCGTATTTTTTTATGCCACGCACACATTGGTAAAACCTCAATATATTTATTCCGTATAACTAACATAACGAAATGAAGAGAAATACAAATACGTTGTAGAATTTTCACTGTCAGTAGAACTAGATAACGTTGTCACCGGCGAAGAAAACCATGGATATCTGAAAGATGGGTGATTCCTAAGCTGGCCAAATTTGATAATAATGGCCATATGGTTAGGAAGGAAGCTCGACTCGTAATCTGCGGGTTCGAATCCCTGTCCCACCAAACATGCTCGCCGTTTCAACCGTGGGAGCGTTATAATGTTACGGTCAATCCTACTGTTCGTTGGTAAAAGAGTTGTCAGTGTGTGGTGATGACTTGCTGCCTTCTCTCTAGTCTTACACTGCTAGCGCAGATAGGCCTCGTGTAGCTTTGCGCGAAATTCAAAACAAACAAACAATCTAATAATAATAATACTCGAAATGTTTTAGTTAATGTTTTCACCACTTATTCAATGACTAACTAATTTAATCATGGTGTGAGGTATAAAATGTTATGTTTCATTTAGATTAAAGATTAAATGAACTAAAAGAAGTAGTTGCATAATTATAGAAGGGAATTACTTAATGCAATTAACGAAACGCCATTGCTAGTGTCGATTGTAAAGGCGATCGTAAATAATATAACTTCACTGTTTCCTATTATTCCCTTACACGAAGGTTTACTTTATGTATTGCACATACTTCAGGAAGAGCAAAGCGAAAACCAGCTGTTCTATCAAGCCTGCTGGGAGCCAATAAACATACGTTTCTCAAACCGTGTTTTCCCTTGCCAGATATTAACAATAAAAATAAGTAATGGAACGGTGGAAATTGAGCAATGATATCGACTTGAGCTTTCGTTGGTGGAATGGATACGAGCTTCCATTACTTCAGATATATATAAATGTTGATAATGTGTGTTCAGTTTTGTTTGTTCACTCTTGTTCATTTTGTAGTATGTGTCACAGAATATAATAACCTAGTTTCAGAACAGTTGCTTGTGTAAAGAAAGCATTGGCTTAAAAGCACTTCAGCTTGCATTTTTTTTTTTTTGTTGTTTCTAAGAATTGCTCGTGATAACACCAGGAGTAACCTCGCAGAATTGTCAGTATGTTTCTTTAAATATGACTATGTAGTTTTTAACCAGGTATATTCTTGTATCAACTATTCCGATGGTATTGATAATTTGTTTTGTTTTTCTAATCGACCGCAACATTTAGCCTTCGTTTTGTGATTTTTTTCGCTGAACGTTTGGAATTAAAAATTTTGAGGAAAACATTCGTATTACAGAAGGTGTCGCGGTCCTGAGCGAGAGCTTTATTTTGTCGAGCATTATCTCAATCTATTACCAAGGTTCATATCTCAGGATTGTGTGGACTAGGTGTTCCAAACTTCGTTTGTTTAACGTTAATCAGAACAGACCCTGCTCATGTTTTCAATGCACTGTAAAATTGTTGATTTTGTTTGACATCGCAACAACACAAGCCCTGTCGAGTTGACAAGTGTTATCTCAAAAACTCGGTGCAATGAAAAAAATCAAGTACGTAGTCTTAGTCATTTGGTATCTAGGCTGTAGAAAATTGGAAAACTTTAATATAGACACACCGGGAAAATATAAGATGCTTAATCACGTTACTGACAGTAGGCGAGTGGATGCGAGGACTTATCCTGTTATACATCTCTATCTGATTAAAATATGATTTTATCAAGAGATTAGCTCGAACTTTAAAAAGAGATAATTAAGATGGTCGTTGGATCTTCAGTAATAATGGAGTCCTGGCTCATTATTGTTATTAAAATCTAATAAACAATTCATCCTTAGTCGTGACAAAATGATTTATTAATGTACAGAGTGTTAATTAATGGAAGATTCAAATAAGTTTATAAAATTAAGTCCGAGTTTAATAAAGCTTATTTCTTAGAATTATTTACATCGAATTCGAGTTTGATAACCATATACATCTGTGTGTGTTTATATGGCACAGTGGTATGTCTGCGGACTTATACTGCTAGAAACCGATAGCCCTTTGTGTAGTTTTGTGATTAACAAACAAGTTACTTTTCTACAACATTATTTCCAAAAACAAAAATTGAACCTACTACTGTGAAAATTAAAAAAAATATTTTTGTTTTTTATTCCTGTAAACTCCCAGTGGAGCATAGGGCCGCAACAACACCTCGCCAACGGAAGGCAGTTACTTGTAGCAGGTTGGTTTTTACGGGGTGGAGTTTCTAGCCCCGTGCCGAACCCTCCTTTCTCATCCTGGACTTGGGACCAGGCAGAGGTGGAGATTGGCATGTTTGGCGTGACGGGGGTTCGAACCCGCGACCCTCAGATTACGAGTCGAGCGCCCTAACCACCTGGCCATGCCGAGCCTCAATTTATTCTTAAATATAAAAACTGAATGATCAATTAATATAAAAAAAGAAACTAGATAAATAAATTTTAAACATAGAACAAGATAATCGCAATAAAATAGCGGCCATTATAGAAATGTAACAAAACAGAATAGAGCCAAATACCGAAAACAATTTTTAAATAGTTGAAATGACCTTGTATATCATATTTAAACGTCCCTCAGGAGCCAAGGGGTGTCTTTATACTACAATTAGTTCAATATTAAAAGTAAATTCAATCCAGAAACTTCCAAAGAGGGTGGTTTTGGAGGTATCTTTTCGAGATAACTTTGAGACAAGTTTTCGTTTGTAAATTGATAAATTGTTAAGTGAAATACAGCATCCTCAAGTCTCCATGCTAGCTAGTAGTAAGGTATACCCACTGGAAGTAAATTCAATATATATCAATAAAGCCACATTCTCAGCATCATTAATTAAGCAATTGCCAACCTTTTATGCTTCTGCTATCACCTTTTTATCTTTAGATTTCAATTGAGATACGAACGATTTCACCTGCGATTCGGTAGGGTAGGTCGTATCATCACGACAGTCAGTAGTAGGATGAGCAGCCAGGAATACTTTGAAATAATATTGTACTCGGCTTATTGCACAATATTTACCATAGTGGTTCTAAATGGTTCCTGAATACCTTTGCGTGTCATTTGGAGACTTCCATGCTTCTTATGCTTGGCCGTTAAGCTCGTAATGCGATGACAGATTTCAGTTACCTTACCACTTCAAATCACTTTTCGCAGCCCCAACGTTAAAAGTGTGGGAAATGCCTTCATTTTAACCAATAAAAATGTCCAACAATTTTCAGTTCAAATTAAGAAAAACCAGATTGGGTAGTTTGGCTCGTGAGGGGCCTGTTAAAAGATACGTTTTTCCTTATGTATTTGAATGATGTATTACGTGAACATTGTCTCTGAATATGTTTGTTCACTACTTTTGGCAATCCTTCCTTGTTAACACGGAATTGGTTAGATTATTTAAATATAACTTTATACATAAAACAAATGGAAGAGTTTTAACACACGTGGATTAAACATGTTATTCCGTATTTTCAACCAGAATAGCATCTTATGCGATACATGGGTAAAACGGCCACATCAGAAACCCTCAAAATCAAAGTATAGCTGTCTCTAATTTAGTGTTACTGAATAATGAGGTAGCAACCAGTAAACAGTACCCACTCTCTGATACATAATTGAACAGAGTTGTTTAAACATTTGTTTAACAACAAGTAAAAGCTTGGAATTAATCTGGCCCACAGACAAAATGAAAGAATAAACCATTCCTACTGTCGGCTAAAAATACGAAG